ACGTTTTTCTGACTCAGAAAATATTTCACAGAGACTTTTCTTTCAGCTTTTCCCCAAATTTTCCTATTTTTCTATTTAAAAATGGAAGACGTTTGAGGACTTTTTAACACTATATGTTTTAAGTGTGAAAACATTTGCTTTAAGAAAGGTTTCACTCATTCTGAAAGAGAATATATTTCTTATGAACTTTTTTCACTTCTTTCCATCAGAAAAAATGGAAGACCACCCTTGGGTAGAGGAGAGACTTCTTTATGAATGCTTCTGCTCCTTCCCAGGTCTTCTATAAGTCAATTACATCTTCAGTGAAGTACTTTTTTCTGCCCTGAATCTACTGCCCATAAACTGCATTCTGTGTTTCTGAATTCTAGAATTAGTTTTTTTCCTCCCTAGGTATAGTTTTATAAATGTCTGTCATAGGAAAACTGCTATAATCCCTTGATCATTCTGGTTCCACTTTGCTTTTTCTCTGTCCTACTATATACTTTTGGAAATAAAAGCAATAATAACTGTACTTCTTATTCTAAATGTGGCCACTTCATAGCTCTGTACAACAGCATTATTTTCTAAATAAATAAAATTATGAGGCTGTCCATGTTGTTTTCTATCCCTTTCCTAAAATTGTAGCATAGAATTCGTTCTTTTGCCACTGCTGCACACTTATTTGCTGACATTTCATCCAGCACTACTCCAAGATCACTTTCCTGGTCAGTCACTGTCAGTTCAGTGTACATTTAAAGTTAGGATTTTCTCCCAAATTTGCAGCTACTCACATTGAGCCCAATTTGCCATGTTACCACCCGCTCACCCAGTTTGGAGAGATTTAATGCTCTTCATAATCAACTTTGGTAATCACCATCCTGAATTGTCACAGACCCCTCTCAGGAAGGTCAGGAGGAACACAGAGATGGGGGCTCCTGCTTCCGCCACCTTCTATGGCCTGTTTGGCTATTGCTTGCCTCTGAAATAGCAGGTAGCAGCCACCACCTATCACTTTGAGTTTGACAGGCCTTCTGTCTCTCTGAAGAACAAACACACAGAGGCCTACACATAACCCAGTCCTTTTTACAGCTGAGTGACAAAAGCTCTCCGAAACAAATACTAACTTTATTTGGTGAAAACAGTAAGATAAGAAAGTGGATGCAATTACTTGCAGGGGTGATATAAAAAGAATGGAAGGATTTCATATGCACTAGAGAATGCAAAACAGGTAAAAAAAGAATGTGAAACAGATAATAACACAACCTGAATAAACTGGTTCCCTAGCTTACTGACTTAAAGATCCTGAACCATGCCTGCCTAACATGGACCTATCCAGCAAGGAACCTCCTCATCTTTTGCTTCTGGGAAAGGAAAATGTGACGTTCCCTTCAGTGTTTTATTATATTTTTCTGTCACACACCCTTAATAGGGATGCCAACTTCCAAGTGAGATCTGGAGATCCCCTGAATTTACAGCTCATCTCCTGACTACAGAGATCAGTTTCCCTGGAGAAAATGGATGCCTTGGAGAGTGGACTGTATGGCATTGTACCCCACTGAGGTTCCTGTCCTCCCCAGGCTCCATCTCAAATCTCTAGGACTTTCCCATCCTGGAGGTGGCAACCCATTGTCCCTCCCCCGCTGATGACCTGGGGGACCTGGCAACCCTGTCCCTTGCATGAATAGATACTCTTTTCCTGCTCCAGATGGTGCTAAACCAACTAGTAGATTGCTCTTTGAGGAGAAACCCTATCTGTCTCTGTGAGGGCTTTGTTATTTGCTCGCCTGTTCTCCCTCTGAAGTGGAGGACGTCTCTGTGGGTTATTCCCAGGGCTATTTTTGGGCAGGAACGCACAGGAACGGAGTTCCGGCTGGCTCCCGAGTTGGCCGCGTCTAGCAGGAACTCATTAGCATAATAGGCCACACCCAACAGCAGAAATTCATTAGGATTGGTTACATTAGGGGTGTGTGGCCTAACATGCAGAGGAGTTCCTGCTACAAAAAAAGCCCCCCCCCTTTTTTTTTTGAGAAAAACATTTTATTGTCGGGTCATAACAACATGTCCAATATTATAACATTCCCTCATTTCTATTATAGCCCTTTCCCCTTCCTCCCTCCCTCCCCTTCTCCAGGCTTCCAGCAGTGATCCCACCTCTACCTAGTTTCATTTCTTGTCTAATCCTTTCTCCTAAAACAAAGTTTAATATATAATTATTATTTTAACTACCTTTTTCATATATTCTATCTTTTAGGTAACATTTCTTTAACTACCATCGTCTTCTGTTCAACTCTGTACACATTCTATTCTTAATAATTATTAAAGCACAATAAATTGTTCTTAACATCCCAGTATTTCTCTAGAAAGTCCATCCAGTCTGCAAAAAACTCTTCATCTTCTTTGTTGTTCCTTGTCAATTTGTCAATTTCTGCCATAAAAAGCATTTTTCTAACCCATTCCCAAACCTCAGGTACTCGGTCTTGTTTCCAATACTGAGCATAGGTCATTCTTGCCGTTGTAATCAAATACCATAACAATGTTCTCTTATTTACATTCACTTCCTCCATTTTAAGACCCAAAAGAAGTATTTCTGGTTCTTTTTTAAAGTTACATTTCAAGATTTTCTGCATTTCATTATGGACCTCCGTCCAAAACTTCACTGCTTTTTCACAAGTCCACCACATATGGTAAAAAGAACCTTCCTTTTTTTACATTTCCAACACTTATTTGACATATTATCATTCATATTAGCAATCATACATCATTTTAAAACAATTTTCTTTTAAATTATTACATGTTGAAATTTTCATAGAATTTTTCCATAAACATTCCCAAGATGACATAGATATTTCCTTATTCATATTAATTGCCCCCCCCCCAAAAGCCCTGGGTTTTGACAACAAACAAGGTAAACAGATAAGAAGCAAAAGGTGGGTGTGGCTGGATGACCACACTTCTGGTAACATGGGGGTGCGGCCTAATGTGCTAATGAGCTGTGCTGTCAGGGTTGTGGCCTAATATGCTAATGGATTTCTGCTGTTGGGTGTGGCCTATTATGCTAATGAGTTCCTGCTGGGCTTTTTCTACAAAAAGAGCCCTGGACTATAATATGATTTATCTTGATCTTGGTTTCCAGGGAGAACTCCTCAAATGTCTAGGAGGGGACCATTCAAATTCAAGGTTTTTATAGTGATGCAGATGCCATGAAATCTTAATTAAAACACTAACTGGAAAAGGATTTGTAATAATATTAAAGCTGCATAATTGCTACTATGTATCCAAGTTTTTTTAAAATATGCAGCAAATTTGTTTGGAAATTTTGATTGATTGCTTTACTTCATTTGTCATCTGCCTTTCTAAGGCTGATTACAGAGTTGTAAATACATACAATGAACAATGCAATAAAACAGGATTACACAAATAGAAACAGTATAATATGCCACATGAACTTGATTTCACAGTTAAGAGAGCAATGATGTAATAAACTGGTGTGAGGGCCTGCCTGCTTCACCTGGGTTGGCCAGTGTTCCACCATCTTGCCTTTTCTCTGAACAAAAGTTCCCCAGGCTCAAAATGGGAGGGGAAGGGGTTGCACCATCTTGTTCCTCTTCCTCCCACCTGGACATGCGCTCACAATAACCTAGGATTCAGTGTGCTGGGGGGGGGGAGTGAGATAAGTGTCTGGTGCTTTGATTTGAAGGCTTCTCTGAAGTTGGGAAAATACTTGGAATGTCTCCAGAGCTTCTTTAGGGGTGGCCGATGACTGGTGCAGTGCCACCATGTTCGGCCTCGGCCTCCTAAGCCTTTGCCCAGTGGAGCATCCATCCTGTTCACCAGCTCCCTCCAGACTGAGGCCGAGATGCTGGCTGCCAGCTCTGTGTGTGGGACTGAGGCAACGCAGCGAGGCAGTGCAGCCAGGGGATTGGCAGACCTTCCGAGTGACAAATCAGGCAGCCAACTGATTTGGGAGTGCATGGAACTTTGCCACCCGAAAACAGAATCTCTCTATATAAGGAGAGATATAATTGATCTTACGCAGTGGAGTAAACTATCGAAAGTGAATGTGAAAATAACTAAATTGGTGGTGTTTAAAGAGAATCTGTATAAGATGTTTTACAGACAGTATCGAACACCAGACAGATTAGCTAAAATGTACAAAAATATGTCAAATAATTGTTGGAAGTGTAAAAAACATGTGGGTACAATTTACCATATGTGTTAGGTTGTCAACCTTTAAGTGGGGCCTGGAGACTCCACCCCAGAATTACAACTGAACTCTAGACAGCAGAGATCTGTCTCCCTGGAGAAAATGGCTGCTTTGGAGGTTGGACTCTGTGGCATTATACCCAGCTGAGGCCTCTCCCTTCCCCAAACCCAGCTCTCCTTAGCGTCCAGCATAAAACCTCTAGAAATCCCCCAGCCTGGCATTGGCAACCCTTGTCAGGCCTGGCCCCAAGGCTCCCTCCTTCAAAGGACAAAATAGGCCTGGAAAGCCCCCTCCCCCTGCCTTTTACTGACAGAGCCAAATAGAAGCCTCCCCCCTCCCGAACGTTCTAATCTCTCGCCGTTGATGCCTGGAGTTAGAGCCCTGTGGAGGGCATTTCAAAAGGTAATGTGGGAATTCAACCCTCCCCATGTTTTGTTTTGTTTTACTTTTTGAGTTTTTCTGCAGTCCCAGGGAGTCTCCTGAGTCTGTAGAAAAAGCTGTTGGGGGAGAGTGAGCCTTCTGCTGGCAGAAATAAGTATCTGCATGGACAATAGACTTTGGGAAATAGTATATAGATATGTGTCCTTTCACCCAGCTGGCATTGAGTTTTGGGCTTGGATGTCACCAGTACACTGTTATTGGATACCACCCCACAAAATTTGGAGGCACTGGTGGGGTGGTAAAGAAGAGCAGGTTGAGACTGAACCCAATAAAGATGGAGGTTCTGTGACTGGGGGGGCGGCTTCAGGGCTGGGGTATAGACTTCCCGCTCTTGACAGGGTGCTGTTGACCCCAATGCAGTCCATCAAGAGTGGGCATGATTTTGGATACCTCCCTGAATATGGAGTTTCAAGTCACGGACATTGCCAGGGTAGTGTTTTTCCATTTGCGTCAGGCTCAGCAACTGGCCCCTTTCCCATCGTGCCCCGATCTAGCCATGGTCACCACCAGGCTAGACTATTGTAACTCACTGTACACTTGCCTGCCCTGAAGACTGACCCGGAAGCTTCAGCTGATCCAGAATGCAGCGGCATAAATACTGACGGAAACATTGACAGCACATGTACATCCTGTGCTGCACTAGCTGAACTGGTTTCCAGTGATGTACCAAGTCAAGTTCGTTTTTGGTGTTGACCTTTAAGGCCTTGAGCGGCCAGGGACTGATGTATCTGCGGGACAGTCTCCTCTGGTATGTCCCAGGAGAGTATTACACTCTTTGGATAGCAATCTGCTTGTGACAGGCTTCAGCCATCCCATCACAGCATCCTTCAGGGCAGCCACCAGGGCCCCAGAGACATCCGGTGTCCTTGACCAAGGCCAGGGCCTTCTCAGTCCTGGTCCCAACCTGGTGGAACTCTCTTCCAAATACCATCAGTGCTCTGCGAGACCTTATGCAATTCTGCAGGGCCTGTAAAACAGAGACATTCCGCCAGGCTTTTGGTTGAGGACAGCAACGGTTTCAATCCTGGCTGGCACCCCCTTCATACTCTTACTATTCTTCATCAGACTGCTTTACTCCTCTTCCCCACACCCACGAGGTGGTTGCAGTCCAGAACTAGGGAGAAATTGTAAATTTTGCCACGATCTTTTTAGATTATTGTGTTAGTATTATCTATGTATCTGTTTTATGGTTTTAATGTTTTTATTATATGCTGTATATTGCCCAGAGCCGTGTAGTAGTAGGGATTGGGGAATTCATAAGTTTAATAAAATAAATGAATAAGTAAATAAATGCTCCCAGCCAATGCTCCCTCTAAGCTGTGGAGTCTTTTGAGCAAAAATTCTACCTTGTGAGCTGCCGGCATTAAAGTTGTGAGTGAGTTAGCTTGCTCCGGAGCCATCCTTCCTGAGCTAAGACAAAAATGCATGAGCCGGGGGCTAAAAAACTGTGAGCTAGCTCACACTAACTCAGCTTAGCGGGAACGCTGCTCCCAGCCCAGCAGCCTCAGCATCTGAGTAGCAACCCTGGTATTCCTTGGTGGTCTCCCATCCAAATACTAACCAAGGCTGATTAGCTTCAGAGGAGATCAGACTAGCCTTGGCTATCCAAGTGAGGGGAGATTATTATGGTAACAAAAAGTTAGTTATATTTTGCCATTTGGTAAGAATTTGGTTGTGATGTGATCTGCTTTATTTTAAATTAAAATTTAATTGGTGTGGGATTTTGGCTATTGAATTTACTGCAGGAATTTTTTTTCCTTTTCATGATGAATGTAGTTAGAAAACTAATATAGATCCAATTTATGTCTATTCAGTAAGACTTCAGAAAGAGTCTATGTTCTGTTTGCAGAATCATTCAGTATTTGCTTATTGACTTTATTTTTTTGTCTTACAGATGATTCTTTGGGACTGGGACTTAAAGCAGTGGTATAAACCTCATTATCAGGTCAGTATACCTTAAATCTCAAGCAAAAGAAGAAACAAATTCAATGATGTTACTTATGGAAGTGGCGGCGGCTACAAGCTTCAAAAGGGAATTAGATAGGCATATGGAGCAGAGGTCCATCAGTGGCTATTAGCCACAAGGTATAGATAGGGGCTCTGGGGCAAGTGATGCTCTGTCTTCTTGGTGCTTGGGGGGGTCAACAGTGGGAGGGCTTCTAATGTCCTGGCCCCACTGCTGGACCTCCTGATGGCACTGGTATTTCTGGCCACTGTGTGACACAGAGTGTTGGACTGGATGGGCCTTTGGCCTGATCCAACATTGGCATCTCTTATGTTCTTATGTTCTTATGTAAATCTAACTGTGTTTAAAATCATATATAATTTGTGAAAAAATATTCTGTCCTAATTTAAGACTAATTTTTTTCTCTGGTTAATATTTTCAAGTTACCAACAGTTTATTTCTAACAAGAAAAGGCTTAAATGAATCTTTCTTGAATGCCAGTGATTGATTGATTGATTCAGATTTATCCAGTCTATGGCCAGTACAAATCAAAAGATTTTCAATAAAGTAAATAGAAGAATACAAAAGGGCAATCCTGCTAACACAACAGTTAGAATTTACTTAAATGTAAAGTCCGTACATAAATTTTACAAGCTTCTGAAAAATTTTTTGCACTGCTAATAGTGATCTGTTGATTAACACACAATATAAGCTTCTTTGAAATATCAACATCAGAACAGCCTAAAAATCTTTTAAGCAATGGGAAGATTATATTTGAGCGAATATCCTAATAAAAACAGCAATAAAAAGAAAACACGCTCAACAGATTTCACCTCTTTAATGCCACAGGGATAGATTCTCTGCTCCGCAGGGATTTTTTAAACCTCCCCTCCAAAACTGCGGAGGGGAGAGATCACCATCTTGCCAATGTAAAAGCTCTCTGTTGGCTAAGTACCTCCAAAAAGGCGAGACAGGTTGCAGAGCGACAATATATCTAAGTTTCTCTGAAATCATAAAATTTGGGACGGCTTTATTGTCTCTTTGTTGCTCTATACTGAGCAACCTTTGTTTGACCATTGCTTTTGCTTGGTCACAACCCATATTCAGAACATTTTCTAAAGAAAATCCTAAATTCTGCAATTTGCAATGGATGGCCTTCATCCAGGAAGATTGATAATTATTTTGGAGAACTAAGGGTGTCAGGCCTTGTGGATTATATGCTAGCTTTTGCCAAAATTTGATAGAGGCAATGCTTACCCTAGCCTCCACCGTTAAAAAGCCAGAATCAAGATTTACATTAGTGTTGGAAACACAGCTGGATACTTGGAATAATGTTCTCAGGAATCTTGATTGAACTTGTTCTTTTTTATATCATTAAGAATTTTATTAGTTTATGCAGAGAAAAAGGGAAAGGGGAGAGAAAAGATACAGAAATATATATATATTAAAAATCCAATTTAACATTATGCATGCAAATCTTCTCTTTAGAGTTTCACAGCTACTATATCCATCATTCTTATTATTCTTCATTTACTCTTATATTCTCCAGTGGCTCAGTGAGTGGGACAGTCCTTTACATCTGAGATAAGCTCCTCCTCCTCAAGCATAGTCGGCCTTGAAGCTTGATCCAGGCAGGGGAGGGGCTTGTTCCCTGGGACTCTCCCAGTCTTGCTGGCCCTGCCAACTTAGCAAGACGAGACTGAGCAGCACTCCTCTGGTGCTGCAATCCAGGCCTGAAAACAAGAAGAAAAGAAGAAAGAAGTTTTAAAGTTGAGCCACAATTACTAAAGCAGCCAGTGGCACTGGGAAAACCCTGGTAGCTGCGGCTGGCTAGCAGACCCCTGCAGGTCTTTGGCTCTTGAGCAAAAAAAGACCTCCCTTGTTTAACACATGCTACGGAGGGGTGGCAGAGTCTGCATCAGTGGTGGGGCAACGCTGACAATCCGGCACTCTCCCTAGCCGTGGAGGTCCTAGTCTGCATGTGGAAGCCAATAGCTGGGTCCTCATCTCTTCTCCTGAATCCCGGTAAGCAAAGGGAAGAGAGGGCATGCCATTGGCGGTTTCTAGGGAGGCCTGGAGAACCCGAGGCACTTCCCCTTAGGAACGACTAGGGGAAAGGAAAGAAAAAAGTCCCTTTCCAGAGCCAAAACAGCCACCCAGACTCTCACACTGAGGCAGGAGTTCTCTCTTGCTGGGTATCAAGCTGCTGAATTGCAGAGACCTATACCAAAGTCTTCAAAAAAGGGCGGGAAAGGTGGCGGCAACCATTTTGTTTTTCAGAGCTGCTCATGGTAGCCCTGCTTTTCACTTTCTCTTTTACAGAGAATTAAACATGGCCACCAAATCTGACCAAAACAGTGTTCAAGGGAGCCCTGATAGAGACTTTGAGCTTCCCAGATACTCTGTATCCCCGTCCACGCCAGAATCCATAGAGACACAGGAAAGGATGGAAGGGGAGGAAGCTAAACACAATCTCCTGTAATGGCTAAAGGCAAAGATGAGGAGAGAAATCAGGGACATGGTGCGAGAAACCATTCAGGGTCTGAGCTCCTCATGTCCTTCTAACCCTAGGGGCAGGTCTAATAAAAGAGTACAGCAACAAAGGAAAGATTCCTTGAGCAGCTCCAGGTCCCCTCCAAGACATAAGCAGAGACAAAGATCCCCAAGCAGGGAAGCTAGCCCTCTTATGGATCTTAGGGAGGGAGACTCTGAGTCCACACCACCCTCTGATAAGGAAGAAGGGGAACTCTCTGAAGAAGAGGAGGAGATGATAGTACCCACAGTACAGTCTAGATTGTTCCCACAGGAACTGTATGTACGCTTATTCCTGAAGGTACTGAGAACCTTAGATCTGTCCACCAAACCTAAGGAGAAGGATTTATCAGACCAGGAATTCCAACTAGGCTCAGGTAAACTGATGCCAAAGATTTCTGAGAGTCAAACAGGACTGCCACTCCCAGCAGCTTTTTTTAATATAATGAAAGTAGAATGGGAGAACCCCACAAGGCCTAAAGTGAATCATCCAGTTTTTTTCTAAATTTTACTCCTTAACCACAGAAGCCACTAGGAAAATAAAATTACCTGTGGTAGATGAGCCAGTCACTAGCCTGATCTCCAATTCTGTCTTACCAATGGAGTCGGATAGCCTACCATCAATGCGACAAAAGAATTGAGCAAGCACTAAGGAGAGATTTTGAAGCTTACTCTTGCTCCTTGAGGGCGTCCACAGTGGGGTTGTTGTTTGCCAGAGCCACATATGATTGGGCCTCAGAACTAGCATTGGCTGAGAGTAACATTCCCAAAGAACTAAAAGACAAATTAAAAAAGATTGCTCTGGCAACAGCCTTCATGGCTGATGCAACCCTAGACGCTTTCTGCCAGGGCTATGGCATGCAGTGTAGCAGCGAGACAGAATAATTGGCTGAGGAACTGGGATGTGGATTCCTCAGCATAGGCAAAGGTGGCGGCTGTCCTTTTTAAAGGTAGTAATCTGTTTGGGGAAGGCCTTGATAAATACCTAATAGAAGACAAAGACAAGAAATAAGTCTTCCCATATAAAACGAAGGATAACAAACCACGCAAAAAGTTTCAGTCCTTTTGAGATTTCAAGAAAGGGTAACAAGTCTAACTACTCCAGACCTTTCAAGGGAAAATGGCAATCCAGACCACGTGACAAATCTTCCTTCCATCAAAAAGGGGACCAGAACACCAAGAAGGGAACATCAGTATGACTACCAAGTGCACCGGAACTCTTGGGGATAGGAGGCAGACGTCAACATTTTGCATGATATCGGTAAACCATGGTAACTGACAAATGGGTCCTAGACACATTGACCAATGGATATGCACTGGAATTTCTCAACACCCCTCCAGATTGGTTCCTTTTTAAAAAAGTTTTTTATTGCTTTTCCGCTACACAAACTACAAGGAAAAGGAAGAAGGGGCTAAGACTAAAATACAAAGCTAAAGCAAGGATCATCTTTCAAAATTATATAAATAGCTTATTGTATTTCCCAACCTTAAGGTAAATTAAAAAAATATAAGAGGAGTATAACTGTTTAAGATTAATATAGAATCAAACTAAAGCAAGCATATTTAGCCAAAATAGATGTAAGCCAGTTTCTTATATAACAAACGGATAAAAGCCTTTCAGAGTTAAACTACATATTATTTTGCATATTTCTTGTTTTTCTTGTGTTTGCTCTTGTCATAGGTCAGGGCAAAACCATGGCGAAAGTCAGAGACACTCTTTGTATCCTTTCAGAAAACGGCCACGGGTACGCAGGTTTCTGCCTCGACGCTAAGCAGGTGGATCAGGGGGTGTATTATAGAGGCCTAGAAAGCCTTGGGATTAGAGCCACCAGAGGGGATTACAGTGCACTATTTAAGGGAGTGGCGGATATCTCAGTGGTTTATGGGTCTTTTCCTTTATTGGATGTAATTTGCAAAGCAGCCACCTGGAAGTCGATTCATTCCTTTACCAGGCAGTATAAGATGGATAAATTGGCCTCGGCTGAGGAAGCATTTGGCTGTTGGGTTTTACAATGTGCTCTGTAATCAGAAAAGCCGACCACTCCCTCCCTTGGAGCGCACTGCTTTTTTAATTCCCAGATGTAAAGGTCTGTTCCACTCATCAAGCCACCGGAGAATGGAAGATTATCTTCACTTACCGTGAATGTTCCTTTCTCGGTGGGTCAGGAGTGGGACAGTCCTGCCCGGCCATTGGGTGCGGTTTTGGATTACAAGGGGTGGTGGTTGTTATCCTTTTTTAGTTTCTTGATGGCTTGTGAGACCTTTTGAATTGAAATGCTTTGATTCAAAATTTCTCTTATTTTCATTTGAAAATTTACAACTTAAAGCTTCTTTAATATATGAAACATCTTTTTAATAGAATTTTGGGGGGGAATTGTTTTTGAATTTCTCTGTGTAGGTGTTACCATCTTTTTCTGTACATCAATTATTTTCCTCCTTTCAGTTTCTTTACATAGACAGTATACAATATATCTTTCTGGTTTGTTTACATGCTGAAAATGTTTTTATTTTTTTAAAAAAACCTCATTTTTTCCTGCATTTCTTCAGTTTGAACCAGTTCCAGCTGATTTCTTAATTTTTTTGATATCTACTAAGAAATATACCCAAATTATTTATCTGATTAAACAGTTTAACTAATAACAGGGTCCACCACCTGGGAAAGGTTTTTACCAACTCTAAAGGAATCATGTCCTCCCCAGGGGATTTGCCAGAAGCCAAAGTTGTGATAAGGGTTTCAATTTTGGACTCTGTCACTTGGTCCTACTTTGATAACAATAGCATTTCAGTAGCAGAAGCCCCAATCCTAAAAGAAATAAACCCTGACTGTTCCCTGGAAGACCAGGTACTGAAGCTGAAGCTCATATATTTTGGCCACCAAATGAGAAGGGAACATTCACTGGAGAAGAAGAAGAGGAGGAGGAGATTGGATTTATACCCCGCCCTTCACTACCCAAATGGGTCTCAGAGCGGCTTACAAACTCCTTTCCCTTCCCCTCCCCACAACAGACACCCTGTGAGGTAGGTGGGGCTGAGAGTGCTCTGACAAAAACTGCTCTTTTTCAAGAACAGCTGTGCCAGAACTATGGCTTGCCCAAGGTCATCCAGCAGCTGTGAGTGGTGGAGTGGAGAATCAAACCCGTTTCTCCCAGATTAGAGTCCACGTACTTAACCACTACACCAAACAAAGGTAAAATAAGAAGTGGACGGCAAAGGATAAGATGGTTAGACATTGTTATGAATGCAATGAATATGAAATTAAGCAAACTCCAGAGGATGGCGGAAGACAGGAGGGCCTGGTGTGATGTGGTGCATGGGGTTGCGAAGAGTTGGACTTGACTGTTCAACTTAACAACAAAAAGCAGAAGCTCGTTCCCCTTCTTTGGTGGCTCAATCAACTACTACTTGAGGAGATCTGACTGGCCTTGCTTGCAGAATACAGAATACAGGATGTGTTTGCAATTGGGCAGGAAGGTTTTTGCCCTTCTCTGATTGTGACAAGTACCCAGACATAGATACTTACATATCTAAATTCTAAATCTTCCCAGAGTAACATTTTTGATACTTTCAGTGCAAAAGGGGAAAACTTCCTCTACAATACAAAGAATTTCTTTTCAAGCTTGCTCATCTCCAGAATGATTGATTTTTTTTTAAATTTCTGCATTCCAATGTCAACATACCTTCTCATTTTCAGCAAAAGGGCACAAAGAGTTACCCCTCAGCCCCAATTTTTGTAACCAGTGTGGACTCATCCAGTGTCCCGAACTTCATGGCTGGCTTCTTGCCTTTTCACTCCATGGACCTGCTTTGCTGCCCTTTCTTCCCCCACCTGATCCATTTCAAGCTCTTGATGCTGCTTCATCGCTACTGAGGACAAGCTCCCTCCCCCTTCTCTCCAAGATTAGGCTCGTATTTCTTGTTTATTTCCTTTCTGTTTTATTTTCCTTTAGGCAGGTAGGGGAAAGTTTTTAGTTGTTTTACCATTGCATTTTTCCTTTCTGTAAACCTCCATTTTGCTCTGCAAATTGCTTGACTTAACTTGGTTTCTTTCACATGTATGTCAGTTTGGGTAACATGGTGGTGGGTGACCTGCAGCAGTAACTTGATCTTTCAGAGGTTTAATTGGGACTTGCTGAAGGGCTTCCTCTGCTTCTTCTTCTAAGTTGTGGGATGCCTTCACCAAGGAGGTGCATTTATCTTCATTCCTGTGGGCCTTTCCCCCAAAAATTAAGGATATGTTTATTCCAGAAAGTTTTGGACAGTGTTTGTAGGTGATCTTCATCATGGTCTCTGTGCATCACACCCATGGGAACTCAGTGCGTCCGTGCTGATCCGATCGGTGTTGATGAACCTCTAAAGGGATTTTCGCGCCTCAGCCCCCATGTATGCGCGGGAACCCCACCGCGCATGCCCGGGGCGGGGCACGAACATCCCGCCAGTTCTCCTCTGACCACCGTGCTGTTAGCAGCTCGCCGGGGGGCTGAGGCGCGAAAATCCCTTTAGAGGTTCATCAACACCGATCGGATCAGCGCAGCTGCACTGAGTTCCCATGGGTGTGACTGCACAGATGACCACTCGAAGATCATCAGTTACAAGTAAGCAACCTTTTAAAAAATTTTTGCCTGTAGTTTATAACTGAATTATGGTTTTTGTTGTGATTTATTTATTCATTGAAATATTTCTGTCCTTCTTTCCTCCCCACAGAGAATTAGTCACTATTTTTAATTATTGCTGCATTTTTACCTTGTAAACATTTTGTGCATTGATTGAATAGGAAAGTGGGATATAAGTTTTCTGTAACAAACAGAGGTCATTTCGGGGGGGATCGCGGGGGAACGCAGTTCCCCTGGGTGAGGTGCAGGGGGCGGGGCACATGACGAAGCCCTGCCCCTGCTTCCGGCCGCCCCGCTTCCGGCCCTCATTCAGCCAGGAGAAGAGGGAGGGTAAGTGGCTTCCTCCCCGCCTCTCCCCACCCCTGCCTGCCTGGGGCCAGGGAGGGCCTTAGCGGGGCTTCCTTGCACTCCCGCTGGCCTTGCAGGTCCACCGCATGGCCCCTGATGTCAGGGTGTGTGGCATATGCTAATGAGTTATGCTAATGAGTTCCCCTCGCTCTTTTTCTATTAAATGACCCCTGGTAACAAATAAAATGATGTTAGCTGATGATACTTTCCTCTCTTTCAGAATGCTTGCAGTGGACCTGGAATCGATCTTTCTGTGTTAAATGAAACCCGCACCGTGGTGTCTGACCTCCTGAATGAGCCAGACCTCCCCCCTCATGTGATTTCATCCCTTCGGAGCATTAATAGCTTGATGAGTGCTTTCTCAGGATCATACAGGCAAAAAGTTAATCCGTTTACACCATTTCCGGGCTTTTATCCATGTCCAGAAATGGAGGACTCATCTGACAAAGCTGATCGTAAGCCACACAAGGTCAAAATAGTATTATTATTAACAGTGCAACACACATTAAAATATCTTCAAGAATATTTTGATATTTGTAGTTGCTGTGTTTTTCCATGTTTTGTACGTTTTTATATTTTTTCTTGTTAGGATAGAAGGCAAACATTAACAAAAGCAGCATTTTATATATATTGCATGCTATTCGGTACCAGCCCGTGAGTATTATGAGGATAGGCAGAAAAATGGGAAAGTGGGCCCTTTCACCACCCTCTTGAAGGAAGAGGCAGAGAGGAGAGAAGGAATGCCTAGACTGACTCCAAGCATCCTCCTCTCTTGTGTGCCTGCCTTGATGTCTGCTACAAATGCTATGCTATGCATGCAGTCTTCTGCAGTTCCCTGGATGAGAGGATAGAATTAAAAAGTGCTTAATTTTGAGGCATCCTGTGCACATGTATACATAAAAATCACCGTTACTCACCGGTATGTTACTGAGCTCCATTTGTTTTAAAAGATGGCCATTTTACTGCTTCTATAGTTGTTACCCTTAGAGCTCTGTCCCATCCCTCTTCTTCATGTGAGGTTCTTATTTCCATTGCCTGTGTATTGATATGTGAACAGGAGTTGGCCATTGTCACAGGGAACAATGTGGATAGTGCTTCTGTTGTTCATTCCAGAGAGATGATTTTAAAAGTTAGCTCTTTAATGTGTAGAGGGAGGGAGGAAAAAGTAGCCAAGTACATAATTGAATTAGGTGTTATTTTAGAGATTAAACGCCCGGGATAATAGTTGCTTATCTCCAATAAATGCATGTTTTCTCTCACAGTTGTCTTTTTGGCACAAAATATTACTGAATACCCTGGTAACGGAGTCTAGTTTCCACTTGGAACATAAGGACTGTGAGAAGGACACAGAGAAAGAGGGGCTGCCAGGTGGAAGGAAAGAGGAAATAGTGTGTGGGGAGATACAGGGGAAAGTGAGGTGTCCCCTGCTAGTTCATTCAGGTTCCCCACCATTCAACTGGACCAGGCTTGGCTGGCAACTTGGCTAGCAGGGAAGGTTGTCAGGGGGAAGGAAAGCTTGGCTGGTGGGGAGAAGGAGAGAAAGAAGTAGGAAAAGGAGAGAGCTTCTGGGGGTTTTCAAGGAAAGGAAAGAGAAAATAGTGGTGGAGGGGAAAATGAGATGCCCTCCACAAGTCCTTATGGGTCCCCGGCTTGTCAAACCTAAACTTACTTTAGCAGTGTAAGATACGTAATTATCATGTAATGCATTTATAATCTGTTTCATTCCTTACATTATTTCATTGAAAATAATAACATAATTCAGTAAATCAGAAGCAATGTTTGGAGGTTCTATAGCATTCTACTCTGTTTTTCTAGTTTCAGCTTCTGAATGTCTTGTTTAAGCTTCATGAATGTCAAAGTATAAGTTTCACAAGCTTGTCTTGTTACATTAGTTATTGCTTAGTTATGTACATACTTTCAAAGCTCAAGACAGAATTTGAGAACAGGAGAACAAAGGAATACAGAAGTTTTGTTTGAGGAGCACTATGCTGGAGAGAACCTACACCAAATATCTGAGGATGTTCTGTATTTGGCAATTTTTGAAAGTATTTGAAAGTATTTTTATAACATCAGGTCGCAAGACTTCAGAAAATAAGTGTGTAATCTATCCAGAGATGTATACATTAACATAATTATCTTTTTCTTTTTTCTTTTTTACAACTGTGTTGATTGCATATGTTTGAAATGTACAACTTTACACTTATTTGTAAGATGGCAGAGGCATAAAACATCCCACAAAGCCTCCAGAAATTCTTGATACAAGGACCTTAATAGATACACATTCACAATACCATCTCAAGCAGGTCTACTCACAATCCTACTCAAGTCTATTCAATAGGACTTACTCCCAGGAAAGTGTTCTTAGGATTTCACTGTCAGCTATCATGCAGTCCTGACCTGCCATAAATTACAGTGTAATTGCTTTCTCTTTCAATTTAATTTTTTAGAAGTTTGCAACCCAATAATTGGCTTGTTAATTCAAATCAGTATGTGAACTTGATCCTGCTACTGCTTTTTTGCAGCAAAACCCACAAATGGCAGATTTCCTTTGTCAGCTCTGGACTCCCTCATTCCTCAGTTGTGCAAACTTGCTCTGCCTCCCCACTTCCTAATAGCACACATCTTCATTAATACTTTCCAGATTTGCTCCAATCTTACCCTCTCCTTGCCTTTTCAGTTATTCAAATAATTATTTCTTGCTTTTCCTTAACCAGCCTTTCTCTTGACCAGCTAATCTAGCTCTTTCTTCTATAGCAGCCAGTATCTATACATTGTGAAGCATCTGCAAAGCCTCTCTCTGATTAAAGCCTCTCTTCCTGCATCAATTCCCTGTCTCCTTTGCCTTCTTCCTCCAGCAGTTGCTCCCAGTTTCTGTCTATTGTCTAATTTGCACCTTTTTCTTCATCTGATGGCTTTCCTTTGCTTCATATAAGCTGTGCTGCTGTCATGACGCCAATTGAGCTGGCTCTGGACTGTGACTCAGAAGCCTCAGAGGATGAGCCAGAAACATGGCCTGGAAGAGAGCAATGAAATCCAGGAGACCCCTGCATAGTAGTTGCCTATAGATGTCCCAGTTGCTGCTTCCAGAGCAGGTGGGGCTGCTTTCTTGAGAGGAGAAGCTTGCTGGATTAACCAGTACACCAGGCATAAACTAAATGTTTCCAGCTCCCCCGGTCTAGCCAGCCCTGGGACCAAGAGTCTGGTACCACTCAAGAAGAACTGACTACAGAATATAAGACACCTTTAAACTATTTAATTCCTTGAGAAAACTGAACAATCTATGCCCACACAGCAGTTTAGCCGATCAGTTTCAGAGACTCTACCATCACAAGCACAGTACAATGTTGATTTATTATTACCTTTATGTCATGCCCCTAAGCAGCTCAGTGCATCATTATAAAGAGCTGAAAGGCCCAAATGCTTATTTGTATAGCTGTTTAATGTTAATAAGATTAGGCAGTTTTAATAGGTTAGTGAATATAATTTGAACTAAATAATACAAATATTGAGAAAGACTGTGCCCTGTTATAGGAAATAGAAAAACCATATAACTGCTATTAATTTGTTCAACAGGGACTAAATAGCCGAAATAGCTTACCAACTCCACAGTTAAGGCGGAGTTCAGGCACCTCAGGCTTTCCTCCCATTGAACAGTCATCCACTAGATGGGAACGCAATAATGGCAAAAGACCACATCATGAATATAATTCTTCAAGGTAAATATCTTAAAAGAATAAAATTCCACCCAAATTAAATATTGAATTGCATTCTGGATAGAAGAGGTGAAATTATTTTAGCAGAACTGTTTTGAGATGAATTGATCACTAATGTAGCTTTGTACATCTAGAATATGGTACTTTGATATGTAATGAATACTGATGGAAAAATCTTATTTGTGTCAATAATTACAAACCACAAATTTTGAAGGAAATTGTTATTAAGATTGTAAATAGTTCTCAGTATAGTCAATACTTATGAAATAAGAGAAGATTTTGTGGTCTAGCATCATTCAGAGCACATCTGAGTTTTCAGTTATAAGTAAAATATCACTCAGCTAGAATTTATCATAGTGGGATTAATAGGGAGAATTCTAACAATTGACTTATTGATTAAATGAAAGTATATTATGAAGTCAAAATTGTTGGAGAAGACCTAATATGAAACCATATAGTGCAGTGGAGTTGGCTACACTTATTAGCAATTATTGATCTTCGACATGGTCTCTGTGCTTCACACACATGGGATACAGTGCACATGCGCTGGATCGATCGGCATTGTAGCAAGCTCTTAACGGATTTTCGCGCCCAGACCTTGGGCATGCACAGGAACCCCACCACACATGCCCAGAGGGGTGGGCGCACACATCTTGCCAGTTTCTTTCTTTCTGCCGCGCTGGAAGCACCTACCTTTCATCGGTCTGATCGGTAGCTTTTTCTCCTCAGAGGCACTTCGGTTTTCTCTTCAGTTTTCTTTATTTTTCACTTCTACCTTTGTTATTTTGGTTGTTTTTTAAAAGAAAAGAAAAGAAAAAGGACTTTGTTTCGTTTAGGGGGAAGTTTTTTCGTTTACCTCAACGTCATCCTCCCCGTCTGTTTGCCAAGGATCGACCCTTCGATATCGATGATCGGGCTAATAGGGGCCGCACACGGAGACGAGATCCTACACTGTCTCCCAGATGCTCCTGCTCTAGGAGTAGATCCCCACGAGTCTTCCTGCCCCTACCACCTCCTCCTCTCTCCTGGGATCACTGCCAACTGCGTTATCTCTATGTGGCTTATCCTCCCGCATCCATGCCGTGGTTGACTCCAGCAGGTTACTCTGATTGGGATCGTTACTCTGCCCACAGATCATGGTCACCCTATAGATCGAGGCCTTCAGCAACTCTCTCACGTCCTCCGGATCATCCTTCTGATGACCCTCCTCGACATCGACCGGATCAATATCGTCCTCCCAGTCCCCCTATCCCACCGTCAACAGATCCAACCAGTCAGATCAAAACCACTCCGGTACAATTACCAGAGCCCCATTCCTCTGACTCTGTGGATGAGGATTCTGATACAGGGGCTTCAGATGTGCACAGCTCCCCTGACCAGCTGTCTCCTAAACAGGCAGTAGCCAATGACCAACCTATATATCCGTCTGATAATTTAACCTCCTATGGAGACCTTATAAAAAGAATGGCACACTCCCTTGGACATTCAGTTGTACAACCACATCCACAGGTAACAGATGCCGTCTTCGATGTTGTGCAGCTAGATACATCAACGGCTATAGCACTACCCATGTCCACGGTCCTGTTACAGGCAGCTAAAGCTCCATGGGATAAACCGTCATCGGCTCCAGTGTCCACACGTCGCTTGGACCATATGTACAGAGTCCAAGAAACAGGAGCAGAATTCTTATT